CAGTCTGAGTTTTCCATCATTGCTGGTAAATACTTCTTTTCTGCCTGGAAGCTTAAATAATTTCAACTTTACCCTTAGAAGTAGGACTCTTCCCAGTAGCTACTTCCTTGGGGCTGATTTGGGTAATTTTTTTGATGGTTTTATGCTATTCTATTTTTATTAATGTACTTTAAGACATTTTTCTGCTGTTCCACAGATAGAAATTTAGTTTTTACTTTACTTTTTTCTATGTGCTATTACAAATAATGCTCAATCCTTGCACATAAATGTATATGCACCTGCCTGCTGGTCTCCTTATTGTAGTTCTTTAGAAGTAGAATTGCTGGGACAAAACATAAGGCATATTTTAAAAATTTTCAGCAGCTTGCCTAATACTTAAAGTGTGAACCACTTCTTTGGACCAGTTCACCTCTCCCCAGCAGTATATGGGGAGGTATCCATTTTTTACCCTCGCCAGTACTGGATGTTTTTAGTTGTCTTTGCTTGCTTCATGGAAAATAAAGATTATCTTGATTTTAATTTGTATTTTCTTACACTGATTTTATAAAACTAAAGGAGAACAACTTATTCCTCTTAGTACTTCTGTCAATTGGGCATTTTCTTTCCCTGCATATATTAAAAAGTAATTAGACTTGGGGTCCTCTGAGACCCTGCCTCTAAAATTAGGCCTCCCTTTCAGTGTTCATCTTTAAGTATTTATGCAGCTGTAATACATTTACAGAGTGGATGTAATATTTAAACATTGCAACAGCGATGAGCTAAGAAAAGGCAGGGATTAAAGGAGAAATGTTTTATTGAAAAAAATACATCTAAGAGTACTGAATAATTTGAATACATCAAAATCAGGGATTTTGTTTTGAAAATACTCCAGTGACATTTCTTCTAGCAAACGGAAGTTGAATTTTGTTTTAAATACTTGCAAGTCTCTTGTACCATAAAATTCATTGTGTTGTACATATAGGGTCTGGCACAAATAATGTCCCTTTTTTATTACAGAATCTTTTACTACAAAATCATAAGCATGTAATTCTGTAACATAACAATACCACACTCAAGCACACCAAATGACATTTTAGGTGAAATGTTCGAATTAAAACTATTTATTACACCCATATACACCCTACCAACCACACTCAAGTAGGCGTTACTTCTGCCGGACCCTGTATATTTTGGTGGAATGTCAATGTACAGATTAGCTCTCCAGACCATTGCTGTCACTATTCTAAAAGGTATTGTGGACTTTGTGACTGTGTCATAAGAAGCCTCAAGTATATAAGCTCTGTACACACCAAGCAGAAAAGTCAAAGTAGTTTCAATTTTCAAGGAACTGATTTTGCAGTGCTGGTAACATAGAGACTTTGTAAGAAGTGTATTGAAATACAATTTTACCATTGTTAAAAGGTGTTTTTATCATATGTACTTTTACAGTTTAATTGGTATACAATTATATCATAACACTACTAAATTAATGAATACAGTTTTTACATATTGATAGAATTTAACAAGTCATGGTTAAAATTCCAAAACTGTCCTTTTATATGTGATATATTTCCTTCATTAGCTATGGTAAATTTGATGTATAAAATTCTGGTTATGGTATACACTTTAAAACAATTTTGTGTGCTTTCTTGGAATTAGAAAAATGTTTTTGTTGCTGTCTCGGAAGTTTAACCTCAAGCTGTTTTCTCTCATATATACCTACAGCGAGCAGAGCTGGTTACGTTGTTTTTAAAGTTTGGCTAAAAAGCAGGTAGTTGGGACTTGTAGCTTTCTCATACAATGGACAAAGCACTGTTCCCACCCCTACAGTAGCAATAGCAGTAAACCCCAGATGGTTGCACATGTCAGGTTTTCCTGAATCCAGCAGAGACCTGAAGTTGCAGGGCCACTACCTGACCTGAAATCTAAGTAAGGAAAGGCAGACGCCTCTGAGAAAAGATGGAATGGAAGCTCTTGTTTACCTGCGATAAAATGAACACTGCTCAGAAGACTTCGTTTGAGTTTTTTAATGACCTGCTGAGGGCTAGTGTGAAGCAGCAAGAGAATGTAGAACCCCTGGGGTCTGCAGACACATGGGAATTTGCACCCGTCTCCACAGACTTTGGTTGATGCTTACAAAAAAGAGAGGAGATGGGGTGGGGGGCGGTCACCGCCCTCTTCAGGCAGGCCTGGAGGAGGGGAACAGTAAGGAGAAGCTGCAGGACAGACATGAAGTTCTGTCTAAATCCTCCCTGCCTCTGTCCTATGAGACAAAGTCCTTAAACTAAGGTGGGAAGGGAATGGAAAGTCCTGCCCTTTCCTGGAGGTAGAACGAGGCAGGGCAGGGCAGCCGCCCTGAGAAGGCTACCCCCCCAGGCACCGGGGAGCACATCGCTTGCCTGTGACTAGGCTTAATGAGAATATCAGAGAACTCCCACCCCGTGCCAGGTTAACAGATGTGGCTTAACAGTTAGCAGTAGAAGGCTGAGAGGTGCAAGACCATGGAGGCTGACAGATCATCTAGGAGCAGCATAAAGGGAAGACTGAAAACCTCAGATTGAGCAGACACAAAACCCTCTGGAAAATGAACTTCTACCCTAAACACAGGTATGGCTGGAGGAATTTAAAGCCTGTGGTGCATTATGAGTAACTATGGCCACGACAAATTCCAAACGAAGCTCATGTCCCGACAGTAGATGACCCTTCACACACAAAAGATCGAGCAGAAGGAAAGGCGTGCCTCTGTCCAGGCACGAAAACTGTTTACCGCCGTCTCTGCTGTCCTACTGAGGATATCCTGCTTTCAAAAAAAAAACAAAAACTAGGCATAAAAAGAAACAGGGGAAAACAGTGTACTTCTGAGGCAAAGGAATTAACAGAACTGCATATTCTTAGACACTTTAGATATTGGAACTCCCAGACATGGAATTTAAAATAGCTCTGGTTAATATGTTAAGTCCTCCAGTAGGAGTGGCATACAGCATGCATGATCAGGTAGGATATTTTGGCAGAGAGATAAACATAACAAAATCAAATGAAAATTTCGTCAGTGAAAAATCACAATAACAGGGACAAAGAATGTCTTCATGAGGTTATCAGTAAATTTGGCATAACCAAGGAAAAAATCTTTAAACTTGAAGATAGGCCAGTGCTAATGATCTAAACTGAAATACAAAGAGAAAAACATAAAAAAATAAAACAGAGCATCCATTAGCTTTGAGATACTATAAAGTGGTCTGAATGTGTAATTAAGATTTCAGGAGAAGAGAAAGAGAATGGGACAGAAAAAATGCTGTAATGGCTAAGAACTTCCAAAATTAGTGACAGACAACAAAACAGATGCAGGAAACCCAGAGAATACATGAGGCAAGATAATCCCTCCATACACACAACAGAAAAGCATATCATTCAAACTGCTGTCAAATGAAGATGAAGATAACGAAGGTAGAGGAAAGAGCTCATTATGAGGAAAAAAGAATTACAGCGGACTTCTCATTTGAACCAGGGCAGATGAAAAGCAGTGTAGTGCTATCTTTTAAGGGCCAAGAGGGAAAAACTTTTAAGCCGAGAATTCTGTAGCCAGCAAAAAGTCTTTCAAAAATGAAGGAGAACTACTTTCAAAGTAACACTCTCGACATCACAGAAACAGAGAATTCATTGTCATCAGACCTGGGAATACTAAGGATGTTCTTCAGGCAGAAGAGATGTGACACTAGACAGTGACTGGGGTCCATACAAATAAGTGAGCGTGCTCTAAATGGAATAAATGAAGATAAATATGAAATTCATGTTTTTCTAATCTGAAAATGTTAAATATTGTTCTGAAAGATAACTGATTAAAACAAAAATATTAGAAATATATTTTGTATTTAGCACATAAGTAATAGTAAAACGTATGACAACAGTAGCTCAAAGGGCAGGAGGGGGTATACTGTAACATCTTTACATGTGAGCTGGTGTAATGTGCTTGACGCTGAAACAACACAGGAACTCAAGTTCCAACTTTCCCCTCCCCTCCCCCCACACACACATAGTCAAAAAGCTGAGTGTAACTTTGTGTGTGTGTGTGTGTGTGTGTGTGTGTGTGTTTAAAGATTTTATTTATTTATTTTTAGAGAGGGAAGGGAGAGAGAGAGAAACATCAGTGTGCGGTTGCTGGGGGCCGTGGCCTGCAACCCAGGCATGTGCCCTGACTGGGAATCAAACCTGCAATACTTTGGTTCGCAGCCCGTGCTCAATCCACTGAACTACATCTGCCAGGGTCCAAGTGTAACTTCTGACTCCCAAAAACATAGTTACTAATACCCTACTATTGACCGAAAGCCTTACTGATAATATAAACAGTTAACACATACTCTGTATATGTGTTATATACTATATTCTTACAATAAAATAAGCTAGAGAAAAAACGTTATTAAGAAAATTATAAGGTTCATCTGCAAGTTTTTGCAAATTGTTGGAAATCTCAGGATGTTTCTAATGTATTTATTGAATACAATTTGTGTCTAAGTGGACCCGTGCCGTTCAAACCCATGTTGTTCAAGGGTTGGCTGTAACCTGTCACAGCTCCTCGTTTCAGCATAAAACTGGTTCCCGTGGTCCCTATGGGTTTCTTTTTAACAGTCGGAGACGAAACGGGGTATACTGAGCTCAGGGGAGATGCGCAGGAATTTGAACTATTTCAACGGAGAGAACTGGTTTTTGGAACAAAAGGAGAGTGTCAACCGCCTTTCCTGCCCAGGAAAGCAGGGAGGCCTTATGCACACGGCCCTTCATTGACCAGACCCTCAAAATAGAGTATGACCCATCTGGTCTGTAAGAATGTAGATCTCGTTCTCAGGCCCTTCTGCCGCTCGGTGTCCAGGGTTTGAAAGTTGTTTTACTTCCTTTGTTTTTATAATGAAATCTCAGATGTGCTATTGTAGGCCAGAGGGGATTATATTGAAGCCCGGATTTTAATCACTGAGGTGCAGTAGTTCGTAAGCATCTGTTGTGTAATAAGTACTGTCTCGCTGGCACAGAGTTTCAGAAACTATGGAGGAGCGTCACCGTGGATTCAATGGATGAGGAGAAAATTGAAGAATATCTGAAGCGACAGGGTATTTCTTCCATGCAAGAATCCGGACCAAAGAAAGTGGTATGTGATCACTAGAAAAAATGCACTCCTCTGTTCTCTGAACTGTTAGCCTGCCTTCCATTCTCTCTGAGGAACAGGCAGTCAGTTCTCCCTCTCAGCTTTTTCTGTGCCCTAATCCATTGATCTTGGTCCGTTGCAAACCAGATAAGCACGTGCTTTATGGAGGGCCGGCAGATCTCTGCCATCAGGTGCTACTCCCCAGACATGTAAGAGTTTTCCCCATCTGACTGCTCCCTGTCCTAGCGGTGTCTGCTCTTAAGCTCCGCCTGCACTGAACTTTGCCAGTTGCTCACATATTGGCCTCCCAGTCCTGATCTTGGCCTTAAGGCTTTGGTCGTGTGCCTTCTCCATGCCCCTGCTCCAGTGAGCCCCCTAGTATTGGTGCCTGGCCCTTCCTTAGTCCTGATCACACTGAATTGTCATTGCTGACTTTGAGAACCCTTTGGAACCACAGAATACTGTCTTTGTAGCACTAAATCCTGTTCCGAGGAGGGGTTCCTAGTGGAATGAAGACCTGTGAAGTTGTCTGTACCAGCTAATCAACTAGCTGTGTTAGTCCAAGGGCAAAGCCCAGATGAGGAATAGTTCACCAGCTCTCTAGACTCGAGCTTCTGTACCTCTCTCCTTCTTTTCCTTGTCCACCATCGGGCTGTGTAACTTGCCTTCTTTGCAACTGTGTGGTGTATGAATTTCTAGGACTCCTTAAAAAAGGCTTGCTACCAGTGATCTCTATGAAATTAGTGTAATGGCAGCACTTTATGATTTCTGTCATTGTTTAGCTTATTGATTTTATCATGTAGTATTAATATTTCAGGAATTGGAAAGAATAGAGAATTATAACAAATCACCATGTGCCCACCCACTTCCCAATTTTGCCATATGTCTGTGTTTTGCCATATTCTGATCTTTTTTTAATTGGTAGTGATGGATATATTTTTAAACCAGATGATAGTGATGAAAAAATCAAAGTGTTACTACCTCTCTTTTTATCTCCTTAGTGTCTGGAATAGCTCTGGGAAGTTTTTGTGCCAGTCTGTTTACTCCAGGTAGAGATGCACCCAGATCGTAACCGAAAGCACTGGTTTCTGTTTGCGGCTGGGAGTATGCTGTGGACTGGTGTGTGTGGGTTGGGCTACAAAGCAGAAAAACGGGTCAGATACTCTTGCTGCTGCTTTCTGGGCATTCTCAGTAAATCCTTACTGCATTACCCCTTTTCGTAGCTGTTGTTTCTGTTTTTACCTCTTCCTGTAGGCCCCTATTCAGAGAAGGAAAAAGCCTGCTTCCCAGAAAAAGCGACGGTTTAAGACTCATAACGAACACATGGCTGGAGTGCTGAAGGACTACTCGGACATTGCTCCTGGCAAATAGTGGAGTTTTGTAGGTGAGCGGAGAGTTACAAATATGAAGTCAAGGGTCTGTCTTGTTGATACCGGGATCTGAAGACTGTCTTCCCATTCTGCTTCCTAGGACTGAGGAGAGGAGCAGTGCAGGTAACAGAACACGTACAAATCATCAAACTCGAAGCTTACTTTCATTGAATAGGCTGCTGACAAATGTGATGTTCCCTGTTGACCTCTGTGACTTCTGGGGGAAAGGCACCCAGCGTGGCATGCAGGTGTCTTTGCTGTTTATCTCTACTTCTAAGCGGTTCCTGGTTCCATTTTTCCTTTTGTTCCTTTAGAACAAGTTTGCGGATAGTCTTGAATGCGGTATTTGTTTATTCCAGAATAACATATTTATAATAAAATCATTGCAGAAGGAGCTCTAAGATGTTGGTGAATTCAGTTTGTTTCTTTGTGTTCTTGGCAATGGTAGTTGGCAGCTCTGGTCTTTAACGCCCACAGAGTGTGGGTTTGGGACGTTGTTAGAGACCGTGATCTGTGCTGCATTGCTGAGCACCTGGGTTTCATAGTTGAAACACAAGCGTGCCTCTATTAGCAAGTGAGGCAATAAAGATTCACTACACGTGGTTTTCTAATGTTTTCTTTCCAAAGGATAAATCAGTATTTAGCCTCTTGGATTTGCAAGTCATCGTCTCATGCCGTCAAAGATGGATAGACTCGTCTCGGCAACCTGAATACTAGCTTTACATCCCAACCCTCAGGGAGCTTGACCTTGAGGTCCTTCTGGTGGAGAGTGTCCTTATCTCCTCACCACTGGCCAAGCTCACGAGAGCTGTTACCAGATACATGGGTTCTTAAGAGTCGTGATGCCCCACAGGAAATCTCCGTGGTTGTTCCAGCCGTCTGTGCAAACTGCCCATTTTCCGTATTTGTATTTATGTTGTGGTCTGCAGTGGTTCTTTGGGTTGATTGTTACAGTCCTTATATCATAAATTGAAATTGTAGTGGATTATAAAAACAAGGTTCGTTGTTCTCGAAAAAGGTATCACTGTAGCCTGAAGCAGTAAGTACTTTGTGCAGATGACAGGGAGTCCTCTTTATTTTTATTTATTTATTTTTTTTTAATATTGTATTTTTTATGGTATTACAGTTGTCCCAATTTTTCCCCTTTTGTCCCCTTCCACCCAGCCCCACCCCCCACTCCCATAGTCAGTCACCATACTACTGTCCATGGGTCACGCATGTATGTTCTCTGACTAATCCGTTCACCTTCTTTCAGCTAGTCCTCCCTACCCTCTCTGCACTTAGAGCTGTCAGTCTGTTCCATGTTTCTGTCTCTGGTTCTGTTTCGCCTGTTAGTTTATTTTGTTCACTAGATTCCACTTATAAGTGAGATCACATGGTATTTGTCTTTCACTGAGTGGCTTATTTTACTTAGCACAATAGTCTCCAGTTCCATCCAGGCTGTGGCAAAAGGTAAGAATTCCTTCTTTTTTTACTGCTGCATAGCATTCCATTGTGTAAATGTACCACAATTTTTAACCACTTACCTACTGATAGGCATTTGGGTAGTTTCCAAATATCAGCTATTATAAATAATGCTGCTGTGAACATAGGGGTGCATATAGTCTTTTGAATTACAGTTTTGGAATTTTTAAGATATATTTTCAGAAGTGAAATCACTGGGTCAAAAGGCAGTTCCATTTTTAATTTTGGGGGGAAAACTACTGTTTTCCACAGTGGCTGTACCAGTCTGCATTTCCCCCCAGCAGTGCACTAGGGTTCCCTTTTCTCCACATCCAGAGACTTGGATGTGGAGAAAAGGCACTTGTTTGTGCCTCGCCAGCACTTGTTTGTTGACTTCTGATGGCCATTCTGACTGGTGTGAGGTAGTATCTTATGGTGGTTTTAATTGGCATCTCTCTGGTGGCTAGTGATATTGAGCATTTTTTCCTATGTCTGTGGTCCATTTGTGTGTCCTCCTTGGAGAAGTGCCTGTTTAGGTCCTTTGCCCGTTTTTTAATTAGATTGTCATTGTTTACCTCTTTATTATATCCAAGGTGCACAACTCGACTTGAGAAGGTGTAAGACTGAGGCTCCTCAGAACCCGGGCAGCTTACCTGGTCTAGCTTCATATCAGAGTTGCTAGTAAGGAGGAACTTTAATGTCTTAACAGCATAAAAGTAGTTTTTCTGTAAAAATCTGGAGCTAGCTTATCTCCAAGTATGCCTACTTTTCGTGGTCTGTACACACCATTGCCCCCCCCCCCAATTTTATTGTATAAATTTGTTTCAGTTGATATAGAGAACTGTGTAAGTTTAAGGTATACGCATAATGATTTGACATACGTATACTATGAAATTGTTATTATAAGCTTAGTTAACATCCATCATGTCACATAGATACCAAAAAATTGTTTTGTTTGCGATGAGAAATCTTAGGATTTACTCTTTTAACAGCTTTCATATATGCCACACACAGTGTTAACTGTAGTCGTCGTGTCGTCCGTGACATCCCTTGGACTCACTCATCTCACAACTGGAAATTTGTGTCTTTTGACTGTCTTCATCCAGTTCCCCTCCCCCATCTTCCACCTCTGGTAACCACAAATCTGATATTTTTTTGATGAGTTTGGATTTTTTTAAAAAGATATTAAGTGAGATTATACAGTATTTGTCTTTCTCTTCCTGACTTATTTCACTTAGCATACTGCCGTCAAGGTCCATCCACATTGTTTCAAACAACAGGATTTCCTTCTTTTTAATGGCTGAATAATATTCTGTTGGGTATATACAGACAGCATCATTTTTATCCATTCATCTGTCCATGGGCACTTAGCTGTTTCCATGTCTTGGCTACTGGAAATAATGCTGCTGTGAACGTGGAAATACAGATATCTATTGGACATACTGTTTTTATTTCCTTCGGGAATATTTCCAGAAGTAGAATTGCTGGATCATAAGGTGGTTCTACTTTTGATTTTTTGAGTAAACTCATTACTGTTTTTCCGTAGGAGCTGTATCAGTTTACAGTTCCACCTGCAGTACACAGGGGTTCCCTTTTTTTTACATCCTGCTAGCATTTCTCTTGTCTTTTAGATGCTAATCATTGTAATAGGCATGAGGGGATATCTCATGGTGGTTTTGATAAGCATTTCCCTAATGATTAGTGATGTTGAGCATCTTTTCATATTCTTCATCATACTTCAGAGAAGTCTCTGTTCAGGTCCTGATACAAATATTGGGTTGGCCGAGGAGTCCGTATGGTTTTTTCTGTAAAATAAGACACATTTTTTATTTTCACCAATAACTTTATTGATTTGGATATTTTGAGTATGTCAGCCATGTCCCTTGTAGTATAATGTTGGTCGCTCTCAGTTAATGTCTTGATTTGATTGCCCTCAACTCCAGCTGGTCTGCCCAACCATGGAGCATTGTCCAGCAAGAAATTTCCAGCACATAACTTGGCAAACCACTTTTGACATGTTTGATCAGTCATAGCACCTTTTCCATACACTGCATCATATGCAGAAAATGTGTGTTTTCTTCCATCTTCAATGTTAAAGTGGCTGCATAAAAATTCACCAGTTTTGATGAGTTTTTTTAAAAAATACACTTTAATTCCCAGTCAGGGCACATGCCTGGGTTGCAGGCCATGGCCCCCAGCAACCACACATTGATGTTTCTCTCTCTCTCTCTCTCTCTTTCTCCCTCCTCTCCCTCTCTAAAAATGGATAAATAAAATCTTTAAAAAATGCACTTTAATGATAGCTGTCACAATACAATCTAACAAAATTATTTCGAATTCAGTTAAAGACAACTAAACGCTACTAGAGTCATCTTATGGGAAAAAACCAAAGGACCTTCTTGGCCAACCCAGTATTTTGGATAAGGGATAACTCATTATCAGATACATGATTTGCAAATATTTTTCCAATTCTGCAGGTTGTCTTTTCATTTTGCTAATTTTTTTTTGCTAGGCAGAAACTTTTTGGTTTGTTTTTAGTTCCACTTGTCTAATTTTTATTTTGTTGTTCGTACTTTAGGTGTCATATCTAAAAATGTCATTCAAGACCCACGTCAGGAAGCTTTCTTGCTGTGTATTATTCTAAGAGTTCTGTGGTTTCTGGTATTACATTACTATGGCTTTATACTATAACATGGAATCAGGAAGTGTGAGGCCTGCTTTATTATTCTTTCTCACGATTGCTTTGGCTATTTTGTTTTTTTTGTAGTTTCATATAAATTTTAGGGTTTTTCTATTTCTGTAGAACATGCCACTGGAATTTTGATGGGGATTGTATTGAATCTATAAATGGCTTTGGCTAGTATTGACATTTTAATAATGTTATTTTTTTCAGTCCATGAACATGATACCTTTGCATTTATTTGTCTTCAACGTCATATAGTTTTCAGTGTGGGTTAAATTTATTTCTCAGTACTTTATATTGTTTTTCATACTGTTGTAAATGGGATTGTTTTCTTTATTTTCAGGTAACTTGTTAGTGTATAGGAATGCTACTGATTTTGTATGTTAATTTTATATGCTGCAACTTTACTGAATTCATTTATTAGATCAAATGGTTTTTTGGTAGATTCTTTAGAATTTCCTGTATTTAAAATCATGTCATCAATTTTAGTTCTTACTTTTCCTATTGCCTTTAGTTTCTTTTTTCTTGAATGATTGCTTTGGCCAGGAATTTGTTCTATGTCGAATAGAAGTGGTGAGATTGGGCACCCTTATCTTGTTTTTGATCTTAGAGAAGAAGCTTTCATGCTTTCACCATCAAGTATGTTGTTAGCTGTAGGCTTGTCATGTGCAGCCTTTATTATATTGAGGTGTGTACTCACTTTATTAAGTTTTTATCATGCATGTCTGTCAAATGCATTCTTTGTCTTTTGAAATAATCATGTTTTTTTGTTATTCTATTAATGGGATGTATCACATTGATTTGCATACAGTGAACCATTCTTGCATTCCAGATACAAACCCCACTTGATCATGGGAACAATCTTTTTAATGTGCCACTCAATTTAGTTTCCTGGTATTTTGCTGAGAATTTTTGAATCTGTTGTATATTCATGAGGCATAGTGGTGGGTAGTTTTCTTTTCTGGATAGTGTTCTTTTTTGTCTTTCGTATCAGGGTAATGCTGCCCTTGTAAAATGAGTTTGGGTGTGTTCTCTGTGATTTTTTTTTGTTAGTTTTAGAAGGATTGGCATTAATTCTTTAAATGTTTGGTAAAATTTTCCTGTGGAGTCATCTGGTCCTGAGCTTTTCTTTATTGAGAGATTTTTGATTACTGATTCATTTCCTTACTAGTAATTGGTCTGTTCAGATTTTCTGTTTATTCCTGAATTCAGACTGAGTAGAGTATATATATCTATTTTTTCCATTTCTTCTAGAGTATCCAGTTTGTTAGAGTA